ATTCCCTCCCGGTCGCTCCTCGACAATACTGCCAGTCCTCTCAGGTGTGTCGCCGGGACTCCACTTAGGCCCGTTGCTGGCACCCGAAGTGCGATACGTGAGTCCACGTCGGCTGGCTGTGCTACTGCGCCCACTACTTCCCGTTCTGCGGTGGTGCAGCCGTGACGCGGCAGCCGCCGCCGCATCGTCGTCGTCGCTGCTCTCGGCCTCGACTTCGGTGGCGCTGAGACGCATGGGAACACCGCCGACGCCAATGTGGTTTTCGCCTGGAGCATATCCAACAACACCGGGCTTGCCGTGGTGGCGGATCTTCGCAGCAACCTTGCCGGTCGCGCTGATACCGGTAGTGGTGCGGCCACTAGGGCCAGACGAGCCCGAAGCAGTGCGCTGACCACCAACCATCTCCATATTGGCGCGCAGCTTCGCGGCACGTTGCGCGGCTAGGAGGCGAGGATCCTCATACTGCGACCGGTCGCACCAGACGGTGGCCTTTTGCTTTCGGAGAAGGGCAACGTAGCCCGTTGCCTGGGCAGGAGCGCCGCCAGAGCGGGATGATGTTGATCGGCGCAGGTCGTTGGTGGGAGAAGTACGGTAGGCGGCCGGGGGCGGGACCGTCGATGTGGTCGAAAAGGTGTTGACCGAGGGAGAACGTCGGGTGAAAGACTGCTGATGCGGCTGCCCATATGGCTGATGCAGATGCATTGGCGTGGGTTGTTGGACTGGGAAGGTGTTGGACGAAGTCGTTCGAGAGCGTGAATGACTGTAGACGGAGGATGAATCCAGAGGACGCCTATGCGAATGGGGTTCCAACATGATGTTGGATCGCGAGTGCCGTCAGGCAGCAGAAGAGTGATTTCTCGCCAGCACCGATGGTTGATGAGGCGCAACTGTCAGGAGTGATTTGCTCCACAACTCGGAGAGAGGGAGCTAGAGAGAGGCCTCGCGAGGGGTTGTGAGGCGAAGAATGCGGGTCGGCGGACAGTAAGAACCGGCCGAACCGAATGGCTAGGAGGTGATGCGAAACCAGGGAGGCACAGCAGTTGAAGCCAGGGTTGCTCAAGTCGTCAGGCAGAGGCAGAGGGGTTTTGTTCGTGTTGGTGTTGGCGGCAGTCCGTGCGTGGACGAGGTGGATGCCACTCCTTCTTTCGGGTGCCTTTTCTGGTGCACTGTTTTGCCCCCAACAACCTGTCTCCTACAACAACGGCCAAGGTGATGGTGACAAGGCGCGGATACCACGGTGCACAAGTGATCCGAATCGCGGTCGCGTTAAAGCAGCGCTATGCCTGCTGGTGGCGGGTAAACACCTTCGGATAGCAAGGAGATTGGGGTCTGTGAGAGGCCCTATTGAGTAAGCGCGGGTCGTAGTGAAACGATACCGCGAGGGTGGTCGTGGGAGGACAACGATAAGGTGGATTGGGCGGTCAAGGAGAGAGTCTTGCCCAGGCTCTATCCCAAGATTGAGTGGGTGGAAGAAAATGAAGGGGCGGATCGGAGGAGGTGCGAGACGAGGGAGAGGTGGGCACGACATCAGTAAATAAGACCAGGCCAGGATGGAGATGGAGAATGATCTGAGAAAAGCAAAGCCAAGCACGCAGCAACCGGCGGCAGCACCAAGCACCAAGCACCAAGCACCAAGCACCTCACCATCCAAAGCCCCTCCCACCCCCCTCAGGTCGTCAGGTCAGGTCAGCTAGCGGGAGCCGGCCGTAACCTAACAAGCTGGCGACCAGGACAACATGGATGCACTAACCAGGGCGTTAGGTTAGGTTGCATGGGTGACGGAGTGGGATGAGCGCGGGTGATGGATGCATCACAGCTGCCCTGTCCTGCTGCCCACTAGGTCACCAACAGCCCCTCCTGCCCCCCCCCCCCTTCTTCCCTCCTTCCCCTCCCCAGTTCAGTTTCCGGCAGGGCAGGCGCTATGGGATCCGGGCTTTACACCTCTGATAGGGTAGTAACCGCTAGATCATGATGGAGAGCCCTAAAGGCAAAGGCAAGCACGATAGAGAGGCACCCTGAAGCGGCTTAGCCCGAGTTCATCCATGCTCCGTCCTTCCCTTTCCCACACGCTCTCTTGCTCCTCCCTTCCTGCTCTCCATCCCCAATTCCAATTCCCTCAACGCTGGTTCCCTGTGCGTTGGTGTGCTTGGCTCCCTCTTCTCAGCTGAGCAAGAGCAGGTGCGCTAAGCCGGCATGACAGGGCAGGCTCGGCTGGTTTAACAGGGCAGTAGCAAGCACCTGTTGATTGGTCGGAACGGACGACGCCGAAGAGCGAGCCCACCGTGTCCCAGCCAATTGACCGACCCATGCTGATGTAAAAGGCCCCCGATTGCTGGCGCCGGGGATTTTCAGAGATCCGCTGCTGATCTTGTGCTGTCTCCAGTTGTCGACTCCAGAATGCTGTCATAGGGGACCCTTTTTCTTCATGATTGTCCCGCCCATCACCATGTCCCGCTGCCAATGCGTTCGTATTGTACGCCCTCGAGTCCCTTTTCCGTTCTTTGTCCCCCCGTACTCTTCTCGTATGGAACGCCGAATCGCTAGCCTTGCTCTCTCGGGGACGAAAATGACGGCCCCCCCCCCTCCAAAAAAAAGAACCGTCGGGGACATCGCCCATGCCGACGCTTGTTGCCGTCTGCTCTGCCAGCATCCCGATGGCCTAGCGTTCGCTGTCGCCCTATGTCCCTGCGTACGACACGGGAAGACGATAGCCGGCCCGGCTGGCCCACACCTCTTCCCATCCGTTGATGTTGCCACTGACAAGACGCGGCGGCAATGTCTGGGCAGTTGGCAAAATCTCGGCCAACTATGCAGCAAAAGCCTCAATTCTGTCATCACACAAGCACCATGACACGTTGGACCATCCCACCTGGCATTGGGTCAATCTCCTGCCCGTTCGACCGACCCATCCATCGCTTTGTGACGAAAGAAGTCATCATATTCGGTCCAGAGTTGCAAGCATTGGTTCAAGCCGTTCCAAGGCAGTGGCCCATATGTGCCCTTCTTATCACCGACGTCCATGCTTTCTTTCAAGGAACGACCCTGGTTGCTTCATCCCATTGCGACAGAGGGTGGTATTGAGGGACGATTCGCTGCACTGCATCACAGCTCGACACCCTCGAGAGGCAGACGCCGATGAGACACAACGCACGAGATCGCGACCAATAGTGTGACCTGCGGCGCTGCTCATCCGCCCACATTACCACTGGCAGCGAATTGACGGCAATTGAAATTTGGTCGTCGAAACAGAGCCCCTGGCGGTGACCATCGTCAGCCAGCAACCAACAGCCACCAGGCTTGCTTCCCAGGTGGACGCGAGCGGGTGAACGCATGTTGTGTGCCACACCGCCGGGAGCGGCATCGGTCGTTCTTTTACTGTTGGCTTTTCGTTGTCTTACATGTTTCTCATCACAGTTCTGACCGCCGTCATTTTGATCTCCAGACCTAAGGACAGCAAAGGAAACCTGCAGCGGCGATCTGTTTACAAGTTCGCGTAGGAAGCGTCAACAGCGCAGCACTCGAATTTCGATGCTACCATTGGCTTGATGGGGCCAAACGTGGGCTCCCCTTGGCCGACTGACACCATCTCAATCGCCCAGGGACCCCTCGCCAGCTGTTGACAAGGCTGCAGATGCAGAGTGAAATGCAACTCTATCCTTTCGCAAAGCAGCGTGGTGGCACAGCTCGCCCAACGTCGTGTTTTCCGCCAGCTGCAGGCAGACCGCTTCAGCCGACTCATGGAGTCAATGGTGGATCCAATCCCGGCACGAGAAGGTACAGGTTACCCCTCCTCCTGATCTTCTCTAGGCTGTGTGTAACCCCTCCATAGACGCCAGGTCTAGGCCTCGTCAGCAATACTTGCGAATGATACAATGCTTGACTGGTCTGTTCGAGTCCCCAAAGGTTTGCCTATCCAACCGAGAAGCATCATCGGTAACTCAATGCATAATTAGCGAGCCACATCATCGGAAGCCAACCACTAGGGGAAGCTTCCCCTGGCCTCTACTGTACATTTCGGCATCGGGGATGAGACCCCACTTCGACAATGACAGGCTGACGGAGGTCCACGACTTGAGACTTCCAGAAGTATTGGCAAAGCTTCTTGCAAGGCGATGTGTTACTGACGCTCTCCGTCACGTTGCATCAACGTCGTCAGTCAGCGCACGCTCAATCATCAAGCGTTGTTAGAGTTTCCATTGGAGCGATGGTGATATCCATTCATGACTATACTGGTACGCTTCTAAACGTCAGGCCATCCTTGGGGGATTAGTTTCCATTCTCCACCACTCTAGCGGCTAGGGTTCCTAGCGCGCCGCGGCGGTACAACAGATCTCGGAGCGTTTGTGTGCGTCCCGCAAGGTTTAGAGCACAGAAAAGACTCAACCTCGACATCAGATGGGCGCTACATTTACCGGGCCAAGCATTTGGGGGCTAATATCCCACTCCTATAGCGGCCCAAAATTGGATCGTTGGTTTGTTTGGGGTTTACAAGTTTTCTCGACGGTTAGGCTTGCAATAATCGATCAGGGTGGCACGAGGACACGCCTAAGCTGCCGGCCTTATCCCCCGAAGAAGCCACCACTGGGCCGAGAATCTAGGTCATGCATCTTGTAGCATTGAGCAACCCATGTTTCGATGCTTCAGAGCGACTGCGTCCCACTCCATGGCTCACATTACTTACCTGGTACTTACCGCGTGGCTTTTCACGATCACACCCTCCCCAGGTTCGCAGGTGCACGATAAGAGCGGCGTTACTCCCTAGACCGTCCGTTGGCGCGGTCAAACAAGCTGAATCAAGCTCCTTGTCCGTTGTGTAGGTAGCTGGGTGAGGCAATTTGACAGGGTGACCAAGTCTTCCCCACGGCTTAGGCGTCGTTGCCAGCCTTGCTGCGTATGTGTGGTTCAGAGTTAAAAAGAGCATATATATCGGTAGACGTCCAGGGAGGCAAAGGTCAACATGTCTGTGTGCCGGGAGCCCAAGCCGCGAATAGGTTCACGAACCCGTGGCTGCACGCGTCAGCAAGAAGGTAAATCGGCTAGGTAATCAACTGTCCTGGTTGTAGTCACTGCACCATCCCCACTGGAAGCATGGAAGTGCCGCTTATCAGGCTGGCATCCGTTGTCGGTCCTTTTCACTCTCCATCAAAAACCTGCTTTGCGACTTTGCCATCAAGGAAAAGATCGCAAAATCGCATATGGCTCGTGCGCAGTTGAGGGTCGGCGTCTCACCCTGTCGCAAGCGTCCGTTCCTAGCAGCACAGTAGGAGCGCGCGTGGGATTTATTGGAGCTAAATCTCCTCCAAGCAGGGCACAGAGCCGCCTGCGTGTGAAAGGCTCCGATCCATGCTCCGATCTCGATCGCAGCCAACACGTCTTGCTCTACTATTGAATGCGTTATAGGGCTTGAGTTTGACCTGGATCCTTGACAGCGGTGTGGATCCCTATTCTCTGGAGGTGACTGAAGGTTTGCAGCGTAGCAATTGATGCCGCCAACCTCGGTGGCCTGTTTGGTCTGTGCTCCATTGGATGGCAAGTGGCATTGTCGATGAACTGAGAACCGGGCAGTTTTATTGACGCCAGCTGTGTGCTTCATCAACAGCGGTCCATACTTGGAAAATGCAAGGACTCTCTATCGTCTTCGCTGTTGAACTTTTGTTTGGCTTGTCCTTCACCTGGCAGACGTGCTGCCCTGCCACTTGACAATCACACGTGTACAACCACGCCTACCAGATAGACGCTCCGAAGTTTAAGGCACCAAGGTCCACACCGCTTGCGACACGCATGTCTCAAACTCTATACATACATACATCTTAATATGTGCTGGTGTCACGACAGCGATTGGTACTGACACTCGCATCCGTTCCGGCATGGTCCTCCTAGCCCAACGGAGTCGGTGCCTGAGTCGGTGCCTGAACCCGGAGAACCCGGTCAAGGAGCGCCGTTTTGTCGCCTTGCTATAGTGCATTTGACGCGGGTATGGTTTGTGCCGTACGTTGTGTAGCGTGTCAGAGTTCAACGACCGAGGACATAGGTTGCAACATCCCAGACACACCGCGCGGAGTCGGCCTTTGCACTGGTTGGCGTCATCATTTACGCTGTTGCACGTACTCATCCTGTTTCTGCCAGCGTTGGCACGTTGAGCTCAGGACAATGGCAAGTTTGGGGACATCTCATGATGTGTTTGGGGGGAAAAAAGACACCGAGGGGTATTATTGTTGGAAACTAGATCTAATCCAAAGCGCCAAACCATGGGAAATGAGCACCACAGCAAACGCTCAAACATTTGCGCTCATGATAACAGTCGTGGGGTTTCATCAGGTGGGAACCCTCTCTACTTCTTCTGCTGCTGCTGCTGCTCCTCCTCCGCTTCTTGCCGCCGCCGAAGAGGCCGCCGACGTAACCGCCAGCACCCTTGACGCCGCTGGGGAGGCCACCGCCGACGGCCTTGCGGCCGTCGACGAGGTCTGTAGCCGCGCTGTTGGCGACGCCGGCGCCGGGAATGCTGCTGTCGGCGTAGTTGCCCTTATCGTCCCTGCCTGGCGCTCGGCACGGTTGACGCCCTCCTTGGAGACGAGATCGCCGACGGCTGGAGGAGACCGCCTTGGCCGACCTGGCCGGCGACGAGGCCGTGCACGCCGTCCTGCAGGGTGTCGACCTGGGAGATGCCGGTGACCTTGGTCTTGTCGAGGTTCTCTGATGGTTGATATTAGCCAGGGGTCCGGGAGTCATAAGTCAAGGGGAGGGGGACGGGGGTTGTGGCTTACGCTTAGCGGCATATGATGTCTTGTTGTCCTTGGTGAACCACCTCAGGTAGAGATCCTCTGCCCAGGGCACCCACTTCTCGTACTGAGAGTTGTATGTCTGCTTGGACCACTCCATTTTGATGTGTTTGTATGTGTGTCTGTTTGGTAGTTGGCGTGGAGGGTTTCGTGGTGGATGGGTGTTGTAGCTGTTGTTTGATGTTGCTTCTGTCGGATGCTAGAATTAGCAGGACGACATTCCGACCGTAACACGGCGACGAAGCATCTCTTTATCTGAACTGGCTCGACCGGCTGCCTGCCAGGTTTGCATCTCGTCCATCACGCCCGCCGACCATGTGTCTGGGCCGCTGACGAGGTGTGGCTGATGCGCGCCGCCGATCCGACGTCATACTGGTGGCGGGGCATGCGATGTGATTGGTGCGTTTGGGGGTCAGGAAACCTGAACGTGGAAGGTGCGCGAGCTGCGAGAAGACGTCAGCCACTCCTCAGGCTGGTGTGGCCGTTCGCTTCCCTGCTGGACTCGTGGCTTGGTTTCATCATGATGCGTTCTGGAACGTCACGGCCGGGCAGATTGTTCGTTGCTGCTGCTGGGGGGGCGCTCAGGGATGAGGGATGCTTCACCATCTCGATGGAGGGCGGTGCCTCGATGCGTGAAGGAACAACGTCATTGCCGTGGAGAGACGGTGGGAGGAGTGGGGCTGGTGACAGAGGAAACCTAGGGTGCGTGGCTGGTGCTCAGGGTCTGCTGAACGGGGTTTCGCATGTGAAGCTGGCCACGGCATCGTTTGGATTTTCAGGGTCTCGCCGTGACAAGTGACGATTTTCTTCTGCCCGCCTCCCCCTCTCTCCTGGGGATCTTCGAATCAAAGGTGCTTTGCCTCACTTTTTCTTGAAGGCTTTCGCGGGGCTAGTGAAACTTGATATCGGTGTCTGCCGACGATCCCCCTTGGGGGCGCGATCTCTGCCGCACGCGCAGCAGCAGTATCAACAGCCTGAGCGATTGCCGAGCTTGGCCTCGATGTGACCCGGTTCCTGGAGATCGTGAGCGTCCAGTTCGTGGGGAGGTGGGCGTGTCGAAGCTGCAATTATGCCTCCTTGGAGACGTCGCTCGGTCTGTCCTCGCCTTGCCTGATCCGCTCGGTGAAAGATTGCCAGCCTTTTTCACCGAGGCCTGGATCACTGCCAAAGTGGTCCGTCTGGCTTCAATTACACGAGAACAGTCTTTTTTCCGTGTGTTTTGTGCATCGTCGCTCGGGGAACAGTTGGTCCTAGCTGAAGGATTTTTTTTTTGGCGAAACCTCAGCTTCAGCCCCTCGTTGCTCGCTGCTGTGCCGCTTCTTGGCGCACCCGCCTTCCTCGGCTCAACGCTGCAGAATGAGGCCCTCCCGACATAAGTACCTGGGCTCAGGTAGGTCGTAGCTCAGGTAGTGCTGACCACGATCTGACCACCTCGAAGGAGACCCGTCCAGTCAAGTGTGTACATCGCGCGTCTGCCTCTACTTGCCGCCTTTTCCGCACAAAGGCAGTCCTGCCTCTTTCTTTCTTCATCCGGGCAAATGGTTCTTCCCTGAGCCACGTTTTCGTTTTCGCAGTATCGCGGGGCATGTCCATCGTGGATAGCCTCGACAATCGCTCGCCCACGCCAAAGCTTAGCCTCGACAGTTTTCGGAGAAACAGGACACACTGCAGCAGCTTCAGCTTATAGTCCCGCGGAGCATTCCGACCGGCCCGTACCCCCCCTAGGGTGTCCGGATGGCCTTCGAGTCTGGTTTCGCAACCTTGGGCATTGAACAGGGCGACTAACGAGGTCCTATATCCAGTTGTCCAACAAGCAAAGGAGGAAAAGACATTGGAGTCGACTATCGCTGGGTGCGCAGACTTTACCAGCAGCTGGCAGAAACGCCATTCAGCATTGACACCGGCGTTCGAGTCGCCTGCCATTCGCTGGGCGGGGGCGCCACAATGAACAGAAGCATACTATCTACCAGTTCAGTATGCCCGGATACTATGTGTTTGAAAGCAGTGTCAACGGCCCTGGGTCAAGTTTCTGGGCCCCTGCTTGGATCCAAGGCCGACTGTGGTAGTGGTACTCTTGATTCGACCCTCTGGGGTTGTCATCATGATGAAATGAGCCGCCTATTCGAATCTCATGTTTGCTCCCCATTTGAGTCTTCAGTCGAATGTGCATCAAATCAGATTCTTCTACAGGAACCAGTAATATATGGGTGTTCCAACTCGGCAGAAAGGAGTTTCGGCTGGGTCGACCGTGTGGTCGACGCAACTCCAATCACGGTCGTCCAGAAAAACGACGCGCCAGATGCTGGCCCCGTCGTTTGGGGGCTTGTGATTGCGGCTGCTATCGGCTTCGCGGTTGGCATGTCGTAGTCGAGAAGCGTCCATCCACGGATGAGTGGCCTGATGTTCGCATTGCGTTACCGCAGGCCGGCGCGGACCACGACCGACTCAATGGCAGACACGCGGCATACAACAGGCGTGGGATAGGCTAAGCGTCTACGGGTGCTTAGGCATAGCCAACTGCAGCGCTTTCTGCTTTTGGAGTCAGGCTGCCGATGGCTGAAAAATGTATGATATGATTCGAAGACCGTGCTAGGACGTTGATGGCTTGACACCCGGAAGATACCTTCACATGTTCGGGACCATGGGATTGGTTAGCTATTTCGAAAGAGACAACGTTATCAGGGACCCGGTACAGCATTTCGAGATCTTAATTCAGCCTTATAAGTTATTCTACTGTCTTCCACCTGTACTCGGAAGAGGCAACGCCCTGGAGCCTTGCCAGAACAGGGCAAGTCAGTGAGGCATCCTTAGTCAAAGACATGGCCCGAACACCGGAATCCTTGGGCCTCTGCCGACCCGTGCGCTCGGTAAGCATCTGGCACAAGGAACCTTTCGCGGGTGTATTTCAAAGCTTGACTGCCGAGTTGGTAAGGAGGTTTTTGCTAACGATACGCAGAGGGGCCCTGGAGGTTGACGCAGAGCTCGGGTTATGAGGCCTGTTTAGGAATGGTGCGAACTGCCATCGACTTGCCCACTACCGAAGCGTGACATTAGCGGAATTCCCTCCATTGTCACGAACCAATCCTATGATGACTGAGCATGCCGACATGGAGAAACGCCTCCAATATGTGCATGTGGCGCGTCACCTCGACAAGCACCTCATCGCCGACCATGGAGGGGCTTGCGGGGTAGCATCGGGTCATCTACCAGCTAAGTCCGAAAACGAACGACGCCGCTGTAGTGATATAAACTCGAGGGAGCGCCGTGATTTGAAGGATTGCTGTTCATTAAATAACATACAATCGAGCATTGCCTGTGTCAAGAAACGTTCAACATGTCCTCATTCCGCTCCATGCTCGGCGTGCCGCCGTCTACGGCCTCCACCCAGGACAGTGTCCTCGTCATCATCGACGCCCAGGGCGAATACGCCGAGGGCAAGCTCAAGATTTCCAACATTGAGGCGTCGCGCCCCAACATCTCTTCCCTGCTTGAAGTACCGCGCCGCCAACGCGCCCATCGCGCCCATTCGTCCACGTCGTTTCACGAGACGCCCGCCGGCGCCCCCTTCTCTTTCACCCAGGGCACGAAAGCTCGCCGAGATCTTCGACGAGCTCGCGCCCAAGGATGGCGAGCTGTTGTGACGAAGCACCACCCCGGTTCATTCGCCGACACCAACCTGCAGGAGATTCTGGAGAAGTCCGGCAAGAAGAAGATTGTACTCGTCGGTTACATGGTGAGTCTAGCAACGAGATGGCAGCTCGACGGGGAACGTTACTGACACATTGCAGGCTCACGTCTGCGTCTCGACAACGGCTAGGCAGGGTGCGCAAGAGGGGCTGGGACGTCATCGTCGCCGAGGACGCTGTCGGTGATAGGGACATTCCCGGCGTGGATGCTGCGCAGCTTGTGAAGGTTGCCCTGGCTGAGATTGCTGATGTCTTTGGCACTCTTGTCTTGAGCAAGGATATCAACTAGGGTTTCACGTCCCTGGTATGGTATCATCAATAAATATCTGACCCAATTCTTTCTATTCTGATTCATAAGAGGGCCGTCTAGCTATGAGCATGTCAGCTTTTGTGCCCCGTGATGTTCTGTCGCGCTACCTACAGACGCAATCGAGGTACTCGTAAACCTCAGTAAGTGTTAGAAAGCCAAGCCATGTAGTTCGCCAGTCTGCTTTTCCTCATTGCATTTGAATTGACAATAGATATGCAGCACTGCTGTCACAGATCAGTGCTGCACTTGACCAAATCTCTGTTGACGCCCATTTGTTACTGGCTGCCCAGGGGTAGGCTGACTTCTAGGCTCCCTGACATCTGACATGCAGGGCTCAATAAAGCATAGCGGCAGTCGACGGCAAGCTTAGGATCGGGCTGCATATTCAGGGGTACATCAAATGACATGTAGTATTTTAGGCAACAGTGGCCCCAAGCACCTAAATACCACGGACGGTCACATTCGACAGTGTATTCCGCATGCTGGGCATGACCGAAAGATGCAGCCGAGAATGGGAAGAGGCAGCCAACGCGGTTTGGACCTCTCAGGAACATAAAACCTCAGGGGTGGTGACCATGTTCTACGCTGAGGCTGCCATCTCGACATCACCGCTTGACTCGATTGGAAGGTACACAGATCAACGCACAATGGCAACCATGCACGCCCAAAGCCAATCGCCCTTCTTTCGACTACCAGGAGAGATCCGCGAGAAGATTCAGAGGTTATGCATCATGTGCCGCGAGGACATAGACTTTGAAAATCTGAGCCCAACAGAATATCCTGAAGTTCTTTTCAGACCGTCATCCCACGAAACGCCCTCTCTGCCTGCGATTATGTCCACCTGCAAGAAGATGCACTCGGAAATGAGTCCCTTCGCATTTACCGAACTGATTGTACACGAGCAACACCATCTCAATTCACGCATCAGCCTCATATGCCATGGACACCTACGTTGGGAGCGCATCCTCCGCATCTCACTCATTGTTGGGAGCGCACACCGCGACATGACCTCGCCCCTGTGGAGTAGATTCCTGGGCGATATCCTAAAGCGCAGCTGCAACATTGAGCATCTCGACCTGGAGCTCAACAAGAACGAATTTCGTCAAGAACTCGAGGAAGCTATAGCGATGGAGGAGCGGGCGCAACGAGATGGCAGTTTAAACGGCGAAAACGCGGAACTTACTTCAGAGGCTTACTCACAGCCGTCCTGGCTGGAGGGCATTTCTCGACAATCCAGCTTGAGAAGAGTTTGTTTCGATGGGGGTGTTCCGACTGTCTGGTTGGAGAGGCTTTGTCTGCTGTCTGCTGGACGGATCCGCGTCTTCAATGATGGAGTCCGCTTCCGAGAGGCAGAGAAGCCTAGGGCCAGAACTCTCAACGGCGAAGCTGGTGACTTGATGTCAGCAAGGACTGATCTGCACTCTGCAAGTACTGTAGAAAGACCAGCAAACGTAGTGCCTACAAGTCTCGGGTTCCAGTTATTGGTCGAGCCTGCGGTTAGATTTGACTGATCGGATCGACACTTGGTGAACCAGTCCGTATAGTGGGTCTGCGACTTGAGACATATGATGGATGAGCTTTGCATCGGAACACAGCCTTCAGGATGGCTCGAACAGGATTTTGGCGACGCAGAATACGAACTACAATGAAGTTGATGAGCGCATTTACAATTTGAAAAGTCTCCTACGCACTTTGAAGTCATTCTGGCCTGAGGAAAAGTCACTTTGAGAGCTTCGCACCACGCGAGGTTGTGTGAGTCGGCATTTTAGGACTCGTGCGAGCCGTTTCGGGCGAGCAAGATTCTATATCATCTAAAGTTCCGCGAAAGGTAGAGGCGAAGGGGTCCGGGGTGAGACTTGTTAGAAGGCGCCAGATTGGCCGTCTTTGCCATGGCTGTTTATTCAGCGATTCCAGGTTCACCCGGCAAGGCAATAACCTAAGCTGCATAGCTAACTGAGACGGGCCGATGTTTTCAAACATGCCCGAACCTTGTCATGCCATCGGGCTCGGATTCGACACTCAGATGCCTATCGTTCAAGCGTAAGAGAGTGGAAATCGTGCCGTCTGCGTTTTTTTAGAATCACGCAATTAGATAGCTGGTCGGATTCTGCGGAGGCTTTGTTAACTTTCACTGCACACATGTCAAGAAAGGATGATTTGGCAGCTCTCGATACGCCCGAAGTCATATTGCTGCATATCGTTGTGAACCTGCCAGGAGCTTCATCCTGCGCGGCCATAAGTAATCAGCCCACCTGCCAGTTCATACCTCCGGGGTTGTATCGTTACTTCGCATCAGCCGCGAGCCCGAGAACGTGGCCTTGGCTGCGACTTGAAGTCAATAGACTGTTTTGAGGGCCTGAGTGGTGGTCAAGATTGTTGGAAGATAGCACACCTGCGAGTCAGTTTCCGAGTCAGGTTCGTAATTTGTTTACTCCATTTGACGACTGTGAAGAAACAAGTATGTCGTAAAGTATTTGAACGACAGAAGCCGCCGCTTTCACATCCAATGCGGAACAGGTACCGTCCAGCTGAGTGAAGAACCAGGCATCGACAGCTCCCGGAGACGACAGCACCGTTTGCAGTGTCACGGCTCAGCGGAGCGCATGTTGTCCCGAATACCAACTGACTGAATCGTGGGCTGTCACGTTCTCGACCGTGAGACAAGTTTTGGCAAAACGGGAACATTTGTGCTGCTCCGCGCTCCTCTTATCGATCACACCACATGGCAAACATGGAAGCTCAGCGACGCTTTCTCATTCCTGGTCTTGCTAATCACAGCTTTGTTGAACGGCGGCAGCCATGTCTCTGCCGTGTCCGCCCCTGATCTGCCAGGTTTTCGTTATCCTGGTGTCAGCATCTCCGGTGCGCAAGCCATCCCGATCTACAAAGAGACTCTTTTTCCTCGATTACCACATCTAGAGACATTGATGAGTTGGTCTGTTGACCAAAATTCCTGGTAAATTGCCGCGGCCGTGCATATTTTTGTATCACCGAAACATTCAAGCTCAAAGCTCGGTCGAGCGCGTCTTGACGGACCATGGGCTTTATGCATTATGACATGAGCTGTATGTATTATGATTACACTACGTAAGGACCCAGAAAACCAGACCAAGACGCCTCGCCCAGTTACGTTCGGGACGACGCAACCTCGCGGAAGACGGGATACTCATCCCCCGCCTCCACGTGAATCAGCCCAAACGTCACAAAACTCTCGGCGACCTCGGGCTCGAGCGCCACGAACGCGAGCGCCGCATTCTTCTGCCTCGTGCTGACGCGGAAGCTGCCGGCGGGCAGACGCACGACCTTGTCGCTCGCCTCGACCGTCACCCTGTTCCGGATGAGGGCCTCGTACGACTCGGCCTCGAACTGGGACGACGTGACGTTGAAGGCCTCGACGGTGCCGGCGTACGCGAAGGCGAGCGTCTCGATCTCGACGCCCTGGAGCGCGAGGCGGTCGGCAATGTCGGCGCGGTTGCGTGGGATGAGGTAGGCCTCCGGGCGGGAGCGGGTCAGGTTCGCGGTCGCCGGAGACGAGGAGAGGAATTCGACGGGGACGTCGACGATGGACCCGTTGCGCGTGTCGACGAGGGCGAAGCTGCGGTTCGTGCTCTCTTGGTAGTCGGACAGGACGATGTCGGCGTTGCCGTGGATAAAGTCATCGATGCTGTCTTCCATGGTCGCGAGCACATCATCGACATTGTCGCGCGCAATGTCGAGGAGGGCTTCTAGCATCGTCAGCGAGCTGGCGGTGCGACGTTGGAAGTGCTGGTCCGCCAGCCGGAGACCGCGCGCCTCGCACAGAATAGCGACGGCCTGCGTCAGGCCGTAGGCGTTTCGGCCACTGGTGGGACTGGTGACGGCCTCCTCGAAGACGATGGGCGAACCGACTGTCTCGTTGACGGGCCCTGTGACATACGGGCTCGACCGGAATCCGGCAGCCTCAAGTCGCTCGGCAGCGCCCGCGGAGAACAGATCTTCGGTCAGATTGCGGATGGCGGGGTGTGTGTTCAAGTTGCGACCCGAACCGATGAGGACGTCTGAACTGTGTCGGTAGACTCCGCCGAAAACGTTGGACGCAGTGTACTCGTGCATATCAATCACGACATGAGCGTTGAACTTGGAAACAAGTCTCTTGATGTCGCGCGACTGCTGCCGCACGAGCTTGGTGTGTTCTCGGTTGGGATCAATGTTGGTGGCCAGCTCGCGCTGGAAGTACGCGACGCCATCGGGGTTGTATCGTGGCAGCACGAGAATGTCGAGGCGCTCCAGCAAATGTGAGGCCCACGTCTGGTTCGCGTCCAGCTTGCCGAGGAGGGCAAGAATGCCTTGGTCACCGGCAGGCTCGTTGCCGTGGATGGCGCCCTGGATGTACACGCGTAGTTTGTCCGATGAGTTGGCAGCCGACGCATCCATCGATGTGGATAGGAAGAGGTGAGGAAAGGCGCGGCCCTCTTCTGAGAGGAACGGGACAACTTGGTAGTTCATCCAGGAATTGTGCAGAGTGAGGTTGCGAATGAAGAAGTCTACAGATGTTAGCCAGGATGGCAGGTCAAGCTGGCGACCGCCGGAAGGCCTACCAAGCGTGGCATCACTTGTCGGTCCTGCTGTGCCATTGGCGAAGCCGTCGGGGATGGTCTCGGGGTTGAGGAAGGCTGGCGAGAGAAGCTCAACGTCGACCTTGTCAAAGTTTTTCGAAACGGCTTCATTGTCCTTCTGGACAGGTGCATGGTTCCAGCCAAGCTGGTACTCAGCTGAAGCACCCTCGAGGCAGAATAGTAGGGCCTGAAGGCCAAAATGGGAGATGGCAGAGCGCATGATGAGGTCGACGGCGGAAGCTCTAGAATCGCTGGGGAGACGAGAACCAGTGGCCAAAGACAGCAGCTGCTATGGTTCCTGCAGTCAAGACGCCTTTATACTCGTCACGAGTCTCAACCGTCTCCTGCAAAGACGCCTGCCTCACAGCCGAGGAACGAGTGCCTTCCGACGAGGCCGTCATCCTGTCTCCTCCGGTCAGATCGACGTGATCGAACCTCTTTGCAGCATCGCGTCATCTTCAGGCCTCAGCAGCCAAGATCCCGACTTTGCGCGAAGACATGCGTCCAACGGAAAGACATGCATCAAGGCAAGACACGCAGACCTAGGAACAAGGGCTGACAGACGACGGCACAAAGACCACAGCGGCGATCACAGTCTCAGACACGCGAAAAGGGGAGCGGCCTAACCCTCTCTTCGACAGGTAAGACAGGCGACACGCGCTGGTGCTGACCGTCGAAAGAACCGCCGGACGAGCACGAACCGCCCGTGACATCGGGTGGTCAAGAGTGCGGGGTCATGCGAGGAGGCGGAGCGGCCGACTGGTCAATTTGCGGAGGGAAAGACGGCAGGGCGGGGTGATGTCCGATGAGCGTAAAACTAGGTTGTGCTCATCACTGCCCATCCTGCCCGTGTCGTACAGACTGCCGGGCCCAGTGCGTGTCCACCGGCCGGCGGATTCCCAATGCGGCCAAGAGCCGAGGCCGGGCGACGCGAGAGTGTTACATCACCGCGCATGGCAGGCAAAGTGATCGGCGTGTGCGGTGAGTGGCTCGCTGTCATTCGGTCTCGTGTCAACTCGCCGGGCGGACAAGAGTGTCTCATCCGCACATGTGGGCTGTTGAATCTGTTAGGCTCGACACGGGATCTCACGGCGATCTCTTGATGGTTTGGGACGGCTGTGGTTTGGTCTCTTTCTTATTCGGGTATGCAGCCCTTCCTCTTTAGGCCTGGTATCTCTCTTTTTTTTTTCAGTTCATACTTCATGTCTCATCCATCCGTCTTCAGAGCTTGGCCTGCGCCGGGTTCTTGATCTCGACAATCATCTTGCCCGTGTTAATACCGTTGTAGAGGTCCACGAGAGCCTGCTCGGCGACCTTGAGGCCACCCTGCACGATCGTGTCCTTGCGCTTGATCTTGCCCTCGTCAAGCCACTGAGCGAGCTCCTTGCGCGCCTGGGGGAACTCCTTGGCGAAGTCGAGGACGATGAAGCCCTGCATCTTGATGCGCATGGTGATGATCTGCGTGTAGTTCTGCACATTGTCAGTACGCGATGACGCGGTAGGAAAGACGCCTCCGCCACAGAGTGCGGCGAGACACGACGTACCCTGGGGCCAGCTGGCGTAGCCGTGTTGTACTGGCTGATGGCGCCGCAGATGACGAAGCGGGCGTGCTCCTTGGCGCGGTCGAGGGCAGCCTCCAGGATGGCACCGCCAACATTGTCAAAGTAGACGTCGACAAAGTTGGGGGTGGCCTCCTTGAACTTCTTGCGGAAATCAGGGTCCTTGTAGTTGATGGCAACGTCGAAGCCGAGGTCGTCGGTCAACCACTTGCACTTGTCGTCGGAGCCGGCAATGCCAATGACGCGGGCGCCGCGAATCTTGGCCAGCTGACCGGCCACGCTGCCGGTAGCGCCGGCCGCACCAGAGACGACAACGGTCTCGCCGGCCTTGGGCTCACCAATGCGGAGCATGCCAAAGTAGGCCGTCAGGCCGGTGGTGCCAAGGACAGAGAGATAGTCGGTGGGGTGGGAGATGGGCGGGTAGGCAGCGGCGGGCTGGATGGCGGCCGGCGGCAGAATGGCGTGCTCGGCCCAGCCAGCGTAGGTCGGGATGATATCGCCAGCGGCGGCCTTGTCAGACTTGGAGGCGAGAATGCGAGAGACGGCGGCTCCACGCATCGTCTCGCCAATCTGAACAGGGGGCAGGTAGGAACGCTTGTCTGCGGGGAACAAACATGTTAGCGCCTTGGAGGAGCATGAAGTCAGAGATTGGAGCCATGACGACCAACGTACCGTTCAACCAGCCACGCATGGCGGGGTCAAGACTGAGGTAGAGGTTCTCGACGAGGACCTCGCCATCCTTGAGGTCCTGCTCGCGGGGGATGGGCTGCTTCTCGGTCTTGAAGGTCTGGCCGGGGATGATGTCGGCCTTGGGCCTCTCGGCGAGGACGACACGCAGGCTCTCAGACATGGTAGCGGTGATGGTGGGATGGCGATGTTGGTAATAAGGGAATGTGTTCGTCTTGTCGTCCAACGTGTTGGTCTTGTGTATGTCGTGGATCAAGCGGCTCAACAAAAAGAGAAAGCAGCCGGTACCCCTCACGGCTGGGAGCCGAGGAAAGCTTGTCTTAAATATGCTCGGCCACGTCCCGTCCCCATTCTGAGACGGGGACCCGGTGGAGAGGGCGTCGGAGGCGGCATCGCCAACTGTGTGGTGCCAAACCCAAGACGGTGAAAGCGCCGGGGCGCTAGGGCGTCAAGGGGTCTTGGAGCCGAAACTCCACGCTCGGGGGCTGGGCCGGATGGAGTGGCACATCGCGGGGTGACGCCATGCCGAGGCTTGCGGTGAGGCCGAAGGTGAAGACGAGGAGGCTACGGTGGGTGGGGTGCATGGAGAGATGGAAGATAAAATAGTGATGTGAAGAACGAGGGGAGGTGGATGAAGTGAGGTTGATGAAGATGTTGGCTTACGTGGTCAGGCGTCAGGCAGCAGCTCCTCTTCTAGAAGGTGTATTCACGGCAGCGCCTGCCGTTCCAGGGTTGCAGGTAGCATAGCAGAAGCAGGAGCAGCAAAGCAGGAGCAGGAGCAGCAAAGACAGGTACCCCAACGGGAGCCAGGGTCTGTTGGGGCGATCACCCAATCGGGGCAATAAACTGCCCGAGATCTCATGCTTCAGGGGCCTTGCCCGCTGACAGACTCGCGCCAGTGACCCCTCCCCCGCACCGCAGGCCGAGGCCGCGACGTTGGGGTCGTGTGGGCTCAGGCGTGATCCTCGGTAGCAAGCTGCAGATATTCAGGCTTTGTCGTCCTTTAGTTTGTACAGCGAGCGAGAAGAAACAAGAAAAGAAAAGAGAAAAAAGAAAGCAGGGGAGCACCGAAATACAACAAATTTGCGAATTGGCTATGCTACAGGTGCAGAGAATGCCGTGCTACTGGTGTAGAGAATGCCATGATGCACAGCAAGCGTCCTGTCGCTGTCGCTGTCGCTGTCAAGGCCTTCCTATCTAGCGAGACATCTTGAACAGGCATTTCCCCGTCTCAATCAACAGTCCCGTACTGCCTCCTACTCCGCCGGCCAGACGAGCCACGCACCCACGAGCACGAGCTTGAGCACCGCCGCCGCCCACAGCGCCCCGGCAATGCCAATCTCGCTCCCCGCAAACAGCCCGCCAGCGACGGCCCCCCCAAGCAGCAGCAGCGGCGCCGCGACGCGCCTGTTCCTCTCGCTGTTGTCGACGCAGAACAGGCGAGCGTCGCCGAAGAGATCAGTGTAGATGCTCGTCAGGACGACGCTCGTCAGGGCGTTGCGCTCGAGGGCGCGGCTCGTGACGGCCTGGCCGCAGCTCTGGAAGGCGACGAGCGCAATGGGCGCCAGCACGTCCCACGACAGGTCGTCGGCCGGCCGGCGCCGCGGGCCGAGGGCGATGAGGAGGCCGGCCGCCAGCAGCAGGGCCAGCTGGGCGGTGAAGGAGGCGGCGAGGACCCAGCGGCGGCGGGCCGGGAAGGCGCGGTGGAAGCGCGAGAAGACGAGGGAGCCGAGGCAGAAGGCGGCGAGGGAGACGGACGACTTGATCCAGCGCGTCGACTCGCGCGGCGCCGCGAGGCCGAGGCCGATGTAGATGGTGTTGCCCGTCTGCATCGACACGAAGGAGCCCCAGATCTGGTTCGACGCGCTGTCGAGGAGGCCCGTGATGATATAGCAGGCGAGGAGGACGAGGTCGGTGTGCTTGCGGCTGACGGAGGTGGTCAGATGGGTCTTGAGGCGCGAGGGCGTGGTCGAGGCAGGGGCGTCGGCATCGCGAGAGGTGCCCAGCAGAGGCTGCTGTTCGGGGTTGGGCATGGCGGTTGGGAGTCTGCGAGGAGTCTGCGAGGAGTCTGCAAAGCGAATGGCAGCTCGAGCGGAAGACAGTGCCGGAGAGTCTGTTTCCTTTCTCTTTTCTTGACCAGCAACGACAAGACAGCAGAGAGAAATAGACAGATCCCACTGGCGCCTGGCAGACAAGGCAAGTCGAATCAGCTTGGCCGTCAATGCGCCGTCTTGGTTCGTGATGCAGCCGGGGAGAAAAGCAGCGAACTGCCAAAGGAGAAAAGATTCAGCGGGCCAGCAGGCGCCTGGTCGCGTCGTCAGCGCCGAGTGCTGGGTGACCTATGTTGAATGACGTCATCGTCATCGTCGCAGTACCATAGGTCAATTGAGATCGCCTCAGTGGCTCGTCTGCCCCAGAGAGCCCCTCACTACCCCCCTAACCACCCAAACCACCTAATCCCTGAGCCGGCCAGGCCCCAGACCGGGCTGACACCCACTAACGGTCGCTGGAAACCCCCCACCAGCGCTCCAACGCGGTGCCCCCGCCTGATCATCTAGCGGGAACGCGCCGAAGAGCATGGGCCATTTCGTTAAGAATATCGGCGACGAGGACATTGAGATGCTCAAAATCTTCAGGGCCGATGCGTTGAGGGGCTTTTCGCTCTTCCAATGGCTCGGCGACACGCCGAAGAAGCTGATTATTGACCACCTGTTTGCCGATGACGATGAGAATGCGAAGAAGTTATGAGAGAGCATCTCCGATCCGGAGAGCGATCCCATTAGGAAGGTTGCCTATGAAAAGGAGGGGAGAGGGTCTGACGAGTTCTAGCATGACTGTAGTATGATTTTGCCGGTGAAGAATCCCAAAAAAGAATCCCAAAAAGAATCCAAAAGCTGATGATCTTACAATGTGAATTGTTGAAACGTGATTGACTGAGCGTGTTTTATTTTGTAATCGCGACGATGTGTTCTGACTTCGGAATGTGTGATTGCTTTTACGGGGACATCGATTTTACTGACTGACAGAATCATTCCCAATACTGAACTCATTCCAGACAAACAACTATTATCACACCTGATTTACATGAACCAAGCAAAGAACATGGCTTAGTTGAGCTCGTGAGCTGACTTGATGGCCTTTGACTTCCCAGCGTCGATCACGACAGCCGGGTCCTCAGGGTCGCCCTTCCGTGTCACCTGGTTGCCGTTCTTCGTCGTGATGGACGTGCTGTCATTGTTAGTTCCGGCGTTGCAAATGACACCAAGGGAATAGACTTACTCCTCGCCCTTGACATCGAGCACCTTGCCCTCGGGCTGGCCGCCGCCCCAGTTCCACGAGACCGTGTCACCCTTCTTGGGACCCTTCTTCGGCTTGCCGCCGCCATTCGATTTGCCCTTTCCGTCGCCGGCGTCCTCTTCTTCGTTGTCGTCGTCATCACCTTCGTCCTCGACGTACTCCTCGTCGCCCTCTTCTTTTTCCTCCTCTTCCTCGTCTGCCTTGTCTTCGTCATTCTTCTTGGCGTTGCCGTTTGTCGAGGATCCCTTGCCTTGGCGTGTCTCGCGTTTCTTGTTGGCGCCGTTCGGTGCGCTCGTCTTCTTGCGCTTGTCGCCCGCCTTGGCGTCTCCGTCATCCTTGCCGTCGCCCTCCTCTTCTTCAACTTCCTCCTCAGCATCTTCCTCAACTTCTTCCTGAGCATCTTCGTCGGCCTCTTTCATCTCAGCATCTTCTTCCTCGTCATCTTCCTTCTTGCCATTCTCCTTCTTGCCATTCTCCTTCTTGCCATTCTCCTTCTTGCCGTTCTCCTTCTTCTCATTCTTCTTGTTATCCTGCTTCTTACTGTCGCTACCACCGCCGCGTCCCTCGGCCTTGAGGAAGTCGTGGCCCCAGTTCTTCAGCGAAGCATACGACTTGGTCTTCTTGACCTCCTCATCCGTCTTCTCCTCGTTGCCCTTGGCCTCCTGCGCCAGATGCCGCTTGCTGCCACTGCCGTCAGCAACCGCGTCTTCTCTTTCATAAAACAAAAACAAACCAGGGAGAAAAGGACCTACCAGTATGCGACAACCTTACGCATGTGCTCCACCTGCTCGTCCGTGTACTTGTCCTCCTTCCTGTCCGGGTTCGCCTTGAGGATCTCGACAATCTTGCGCCCGCTGTCGTGGCCCACCGTCTCGCCGTCGCCGTCGGCATCGTCCTTCGGCCAACCGGCGCTGTTGGCGTCGTCCGACTTGAGCCAGGTTTCGAGGTCCGAGGCTGTCATATTGACGAGCGAGTTGAACTCGGAGATGACTTCTTCCTTGGGCTTGACCATTTTGGGATTTTCTTCTTTGTCTGTACTTATTTGTCTGTAAGATGGGTGTCGTGCTTCGGTGACCTGTGATCTCAATAAACTGCTAGGGCGATGAGTTGATGAGGACAGACAGGTCAAGGGACGAATCTCTGCTACACTTTAATGCTTCTCCCTCAGCGCCGGCTCCAATTTGAGCTGCGCGCCAGCCCTTTGCCTGGCCATCGCATTCACCGGCACACAGACGGGCGTTGCTGTGTGCGCGCGTCGGTTGCGGCGCCGCGGACCTGGCGCGATCATGACGGCGTCATTGTGTCTCGGCGACGAGTCGTGTCGTCATGGGGAGCCCCTGCATAAGTGGCTTGCGGATCATGCTTGATCGCGGGGTCTAATGAAGCTTCTTTGCGCGATGCGTCCCAATTGACATGTCTCATTCGTCCCTCGTCGGTCTCGACCCTCCTCCTCGGTAGCTCTCACTGAAAGAGTGGGAGGGGGCAGCTCCGGGGGTGAGCTCCGGGGAATAGACCTCAGGGATCGGAGCACTTCAGATCTAGGTTCGTCCTAAAAAGAGGTCTCACTTGTGACGCATGCATCGAGGATGGCATTGCTTCAGATTCTCGATTAACTACTGGTCATTACGTCTATGATCGTACAGGCACAAGCACAGGTACGGCCCTCCATCTCATACATAGCTCCCATTGTAGGCCAACTGCCTTAGTTGAACTGGCAACCCGTCTGGTCGTTCTTGATGACATTGTCGAGGTTCGAGCCGAGCAAACCCGCCCTGTCGATCCAGGCCTGCATCGCATTAGCATAAGACGTCCATCCAGCCACCGACTCTCCCGTTTACTCACGTCCAGAACGTCGTCCTCGACCTGCTGCTCCCTACTGAGGATGAACAGCGTCGAAAAGTTGCTCGACTGCACAATGGCAAAGTCGCCCGTGTAGTCTGTCTTCGTCAGCACACCATCTCTCACAGTCCACGCCGGGCCGGGTCGTCTTACCCTGAACAATGTAGTTCGGTCCCGCGCACTCGGGCCCCGGCTGGCCGGGGAACTGCACCCGGAAGACGCCCTTGGCTCCGTAGCCCGGATCCGCCGGGGACGCGGTGCCGAGGATGTTGACGGCACGGCCGGCGGCCTCGCACGTGTTGTTGACCTTGACGGTGCCGTTGTCGTTGAGGGAGTATTCGGCGCGGATGCACTTGCAATTGCCGGTGAAGGGCGCCAGGGTGCCGGCGACCTGGTACCAGCGGCCGAGGTAGGACTCGAGACCGAAGCCGATGTCCCCGGTCGGGTAGTAGCACTCACCGTCCCACAAGGAGGGGACGACGTTGGGCACGGCGGGCGCCGGCGACGTCGTGTCGTTCTGGCACGAGGCCAGGGCTGCTGCGGCCAGGGGGAGGAGGGCAAAGGAGCGCATGGCTGGCTGTGTGGTGTATGAACTGTACTGGCGTTCCTGCTGCTGTTGATTGATGTCGTTTTACAACTGCGCCATCACGACTATCCAATTGCCTCAGCCCATGCTACTTATATGGCATCAATTGCTAGACTATTTTCTCAAAGACACCTCACTATGATCATGCCAATACAGCTCGCACACTTGAGAAGGCCGAGGTGCGAGCTTAAAGGCTGGCAAAAGCGCGTCGTCTCCAAGAGACATCACAGAGTGGTGACGACATTAGGTCTTCATCGGGCAGTGTCTTCGCCCTGCCAAGTCGGCAGCGTGTGCTGATCGGCGCCCAGTTCCAGGCCGCCAGGCCGCGCTTTGCCGACTTTGGCGAAATGGCCCGGGGCCCCGATCGATGAGCGGCTGGGGCTGCCCTTCGGAACCGGCAATCGGGTTTGGTGGGAGGATCAGTGCTTTCTGCATGCTGGCATTTGCCGGGGTGCACATTGCCATCATTACCCGTGATCGTTGTCATTCATCTTTGGAGTGCAGAAGTTGAGCTACTGGAAGAATATGAGTCGGCGGTGAGCAGACAGCCAGCATTTATGTCCATGTTTGAGACTTCTCTCAATAGTCCCAGATCATAAGATAGACAATCGCGACGATGAGACAGTGTGGCTAGCACAATAGCTTTCGCTTGAGACATGTCCTAGACTGGGCGACATCTCGCTGAGCGTTGAGCAGACCAAGTGCAAAAGCCCATTGATTTAGGCGCTACTAGCTATTGATCCATGATATCAAGTCGCCAGACCGTCTTTGAATTCAAGCCTCATCTGACTTTCTCATCGTCTGACAACCTGTGCTAGAATTGTCCCTGCATCCCATCATCCAGAAGATGTCTACCCCGCCCTGGCTTAACCGCTTTCGGGAAGACCCTTGACGGAGACCTTCACGCTTGGCAAGGGAAAAGATACCCGACACCAGCTGTCACGACAGCTTCAAAAATGTCCTCACCCAACAAATCTCAATCGCCAGTCCTCACACTCAGGACTATTGTTCCAACAGCACACTTAACCGCCCGAAACTCCTATACTACCACGAACCGCCGACATGGCGGAAGATCAACCCATTGCCGGTCGCGGCATCCTCTACGTCAACTCTAAAATCGCCCGTCCCGATCTCATCAACGAGGAGCAGTACATGAACTGGTACGACAACGACCACATCGCCGAGATTCTCGAGACGAGCGCCATGAAGACAGCCTTCCGCTACAAGGATGTTGACCCCAGCGCCGAGAGGCCGTTCCTTGCCATGTATCCTCTGGACGACATCGCCTTCATGCAGACGGCCGAGTTCAAGAATATTCGCGTCCATAGCGGCCTGCTGCCTGGCGGCGGACCCGTCTACGACATTGCCGAGATTGACGTGCGGTATTACAAGCTCACGCAGGTGTATGACCCCACGAACAAGGGACCTGGTGCGTATCCCCCTCTTTTTCTGTAGCTCCCAGACAGTGTAAGATGCAGCTGACCATTCGGGGAACAAAGGCCACACGAAGACTATTCTCTCGGCACAAGTCGAGCTGGGCCCCGATATTTCCCCTGAGGAACTCGATCGGTGGTATCGCGAAGAGGTAAGCACTCACTATGCATGATTTTGAACCGGAGCCTTGGCATTCGCTCCCTCACAATTTGTAAGCAAAGATTGCACAGGAAGCTGACCGGCGATGTCAACCCGCGAACAGCACCTGGAGAGAATGTCGCAATGGGGAGGATTCCTGCGCACGACCCGCTTCGAGCTCGCGTACGCACGGTCGAACGCGCAGTCCAGGGCGCTCAAGGGGCTGGCGGCTGAGAACGAGGAGGCGCCGCGGCCGCCGACGTACCTTGCGCTGCATGAGTTTTCTGGTGATCTGGACTTGAAGAAGATGATGGAGTTCACCGACAGCGCGTGGACGAGGAAGATCATTCCGGGGTTGAAGGTTGTTCTGACGCCCGTTTACGGTATTGTCGTCGCGCACGGCCAGCGGGACTGGTTCCATGGCGTTGGCATGTGAGCTGTACTGGCATCCTGATTGTTTTTCTGCTCAGGTCATCAAGATGAATTAAAGCCTAGAACGTCTGGCTCAAGCACTGACCTGTGATTCGGACAGAGTAGAAGTTCGTCTCGTCATGGGAACGAATTCCCCTGGGGAAACATGTGCTGATCCTCCCACAGCGGAACACGCCAATGGGCTGATGTGAGCATGAACCCCGTCGTGATTTTCGTCTCCTCGTGATGCTTATCTTTGACCATTGCAATACGCGCGGCGCCATTAGATGCTGTGTTACCCCAGAATGTGCTCCATGAAACACGAAAATGTTTTTCTGGTGCTCCGATGGATCAGCATGGAGATGATTTTGTCGAACTGTAGTGAGGGGTAAAAGGATTCAGTCGTGCAGTAGTCCGGCCTCCGTTCGTTGCATTCATGCATGCAGCTGGCCCGGATCACAGACAGACGTGCCGTGGCCTCGCTGATCCTCACATCGTATTGAGCTGATTGGAGTCATCACGCAAGTGCTCATTTCAGAACCAGGCTTCCATATTGCTTATTCGTCGGGACTTGAAGCCATGTTTTCCGCCCTGCCGTCGAGAAGTTCAGCTCGACTGGACAACCCGAAAAGACGACTATAAGTTGACATTTCAACCCACTCGTCAGTACAGACGTACTGACTGGCAGAAGCAGCCACCGTACTCAGGTCAGGCGAAGCAAATGGTCCTGAGATCCATCTCCACTATGCAGCGCCCGTCCTTAACCACCCTTCTTTTTTGGCTTGGGCTTGCCGTCCTCGTGCAATGCCAGACATATGACAAGGGAGCCTTCGCAGTCCGTCTTCCCGAGGAGAGCTTCCGATACCGCATACTGACCTCCATGCCTAGTGCGAGGCGCTCGATAAAGCGCTTCCCGGCAGGGTTGCTTACCAACAGACAGAAGCATATGACGTCTCCAATACATTTTGGTCAAGCCGTCAATCTGCCGTCAGACCAGCCTGCTTTCTCCTCCCCAATTCAACTGCGGACGTCTCGACAGGGCTCAAAATACTCACATCGCTGAGCATCAAGTTTTCCGTCAAAAGTGGCGGCCACACTCCGTTCCCGGGGGGTTCCAACATCCAAGGCGGCGTCACCATCAGCCTCGCGGCCCTCAACGACGTCACCGTCAGCGCGAACCGCAAGACTGTATCCATCGGGCCGGGAAATCGCTGGATCGACGTGACGAAGAAGCTAGACCCTCTCGGCCTCGCCGTCGTAGGCGGCCGCGTCGCAGAGGTCGGCGTCTCCGGCCTGCTCCTCGGCGGCGGCATCTCGTTTCTCTCCGAGCAGCACGGCTGGGCGTGCGACAACGTGCAGAACTACGAAGTCGTTCTCGCGACGGGCGAGATCGTCAACGCGACGCCGACGCAGAATGAAGACCTGTTCTGGGCACTCCGCGGCGGCGGCGGATCGAGCTTCGGCATCGTGACGCGGTTTGACGTCGACGCCTTCGGCAGGGCGACTCTGGGCGCGGTCGCTCATCTGCGGGACGAGAGCAGCGCGGCTGTCGCAGTTCCACGCTCGTCGCGACGGACGTGCTGCTCTGGACAGGGACGCGCACGTGTTGTCGTGCTGGCCAACGGCGCCGCAGTTTGGCGGGAACATTGTCCTGACGTCGCTCTACCACCTCACGCATGCCGCGACGCAGGCAGCGGCCGACGGGGCGGTGCCGGATATCTTTGAGGGGTTCGTGCGGTTGCCTCGCCAGATTTCGAACACGACAACCATTGCGCCGGTCTCGACACACCTGGAGGCCATTTCGGATCGATACGGCTTCCGAAAGACGTGGTGGGACACGACGGTTTCGATCGGCGACGCGGGGGATTACTTGCTTCTCCTGGAGACGCTGCCCAAGTGGGATGCCCATGTTGAAACGTTGCTGGCGGCGGCCGAGGAGGCTGGCGACACGATCATTCCGCAGATCGCTTTCCAGCCCATCTCGACCAACGTGCTCAAAGAGATGCAGAAGAATGGAGGCAACGCACTGGGGCTAGACGTGGGCGACGGGCCGCTCGTATTGATCCATATCATGGCGACCTGGTCGAATGAGAAGTTGGACTGCCTCATTGAGAAAAGGTCAAAGGAGTTTATCGAGGATATCGAAGCGAGAGCTGAAGCGCGAGGGCAGAGTAATGGATACAAGTACATCAACTATGCTGGCAGAACACAGGATGTGTTCGGCAGCTACGGCGAGGAGAATCACAAGAGGCTGCGAGAGGTATCGCAAAAGTACGACCCTGAAGACTTGCTACAGAACCTCTGGAGGGGCTATTTCAAAGTCAGGTAGAGACTTTTTTGTGTCAGCGAAGGAAGAAAATGATCAAAGACCCCGATCAGAGAGTTATAGACCCCCGGTCAGAGAGTATATAGATTTTATCCATTGGTGGCTGGTGGTTCCGCCACTGGTGGCGCAGGTCGTGATAGTGATAGCGACGACGAGCTTTTGGAGCTCGAAAGAAGAAAGCATCTTTCCATGTCATCACCACTTTTCGACACCCCATCTACAGCGCACCGACCCCCATCGCCGCAGCATTCTCACGGCGATATTGATCTCACACGGTTTACATTCCCCCATTGACGTCTCAACGCCACGTGCGTGAGCTCTTTAGCACGGGCCAAGCCCAGGTCATCCCACGATTGTCGTGACATCACCACTCAGATCTTCACTGGCGCATTGCATCTCATCGCAACGCAGTCCATCCCATCAAGACTGTCCGATTTCATCGATTCCTCGGTCTGCGTTGTTTGCACTCCATCGCTTCTGAAAGACTGCCGAAGCGTCACTCACCTCCATTGCATGCTCAGGAACGCCAGCTCTCACCATGTCCCGGGTTACCCGAGCCAGCGCACGGCAAGCTGCCGCCACCAGCACGCCCAAAGTTACTTCGCCTCTCAGCAGCCAAGCCAGGCGGGCTAACATCAAGGCGGAGCCCACCGACGAAAAGCCATCGAAACGCAAGACGACTACCAAGTCGCCCACCAAATCAAGCTCCAAGCGCATCAAGACGGAAGACGACGACGATGCCCTGCCAGCAACGCCTGCCAAGCGCGTCAAGAAGGACCCCTCAGAAGACGATTCACCGGCAGCCAAACCCAAGGTCTCACCATCAGGGGCATCGCCCAACGCCCTCCAAGCCAAGAAGCTCAAGGCCTTTGATCAATTCTCAGCCAAATCCCCCTTCCCAGACTTTGCCCACCCCACAGCCGAGGAAGCCAAGCTCGCGCACCGCATCCTCACTCTCGCTGCACGGCGCCGCGCACGCGGCCCGACACGGTCAGAGGCGCCCACTCTGCGCGCGCCGGTCTGCGGGAACTCGCCTCTCGGTTCCTCGACGCTCTCG